AGCGCTCCTATTGTGCAGCACCCCGACTGGAATTTGCCTTTTGAGGTGATGTTGTAGGTGCTGTTCTGGGACAGAAGAAGGAGAAGAAACTTCATGCAGTCTAATTATGCCAGCCAAATTCTGGATGATACTCAGAGAAATTATGCAACCACCGAAAAAGAGTTGTTGGCTGTAGTTTTTGCATTCGAGAAGTTTCGACCTTACCTGGTGGTATCGAAAATGATTATGCACACAAATCATTCTGCGCTCAAAACTTGATGCATAAGAAGGATGCGAAGCCAAGGTTACTGCGATGGGTCATCTTACTTTAGGAATTCGACATTGAGGTCAAGGACAAGAAGAGAGTGGAGAACGGAGTAGCTGACCATCTTTCGTGTATCAGGATTGAAGATGACGTCCCCATTGATGATTTTCTGCCAGAACAGAATGTTTACTATGTGGAAACTGGGTTTCAGAGCAGGATTGACGAAGAATTGCAGGCTTTTCGAGTTGGAGAAACGTTAGTGTCGAGCGACACCATCACTAGTGTCGCGCGACACCCTGTCCAGCAAAACCTAAGGATTTTGCGAATTAGCAGCAAACTTCCTGAGATCAGTTCAGCTGCCGTATCTGCAACCAACCGACCATGATATGCTGACATTGCCAACTATCTTGCTGCAGAGGCTGAGCCTGAGAACTTTATAGGATATGCGAAAAAGAAATTCCTGAGAGACCTAAAGAGATATCACTGGGACGAACCGTATCTGTACAAACATTGTTCTGATGGGATTTACAGAAGATGCATTGCAGAGTCAGAAGTTCCAGAGGTGCTGTTTCATTGTCATGGATCTGAATATGTTGGACACTTCGCGACCTTTAAAACAGTGTCTAAGGTTCTTTAAGCAGGCTTTTGGTGGCCTACAATGTTTTGAGACGCGCATGCCTTTATTTCGCAGTGTGATGTTTGTAAGAGAAGAGGGAAGATCAGCTTGCGAAGATGCCACAGAATTTCATCCTTGAGGTTGAAGTGTTCGATTGCTGGGGTATCCATTTCATGGATCCTTTTCCCACTTCTTATGGGAATAAGTACATCTTGGTTGCTGTTGATTATGTTTCTAAGTGGGTCGAAGCCATTGCCAGCCTCACCAATGATTCTTCAGTGGTTCTCAAGATGTTCAAGACCATTATTTTCCCTCGATTTGAAGTGCCTCAAATTGTTATAAGTGATGGTGGTTCTCACTTTATTAACAAGGTTTTCGAAAAACTCTTAAGGAAACATGGTGTGCATCATCGAGTGGCAACTCCTTACCACCCTCAGACGAGCGGACAGGTCGAAGTCTCTAATCGGCAAATCAAAGAGATCTTGGAAAAAACAGTGGGCAAAACTCGAAAGGGTTGGGCTGCGAAGTTGGACGACGCACTCTGGACATACAGGACAGCGTTCAAAACGCCTTCAGGCACCACGCCGTTTCAACTGCTCTATAGAAAGCCATGTCACCTTCCAGTGAAGATCGAACACAAGACAACTTGGACGATAAAGATGATGAACTTTGAAATCAAGTCTGCTGCAGAGAGGAGACTAATAGCTGAATGAGTTGGAATAAATCAAACACCATGCTTATGAGAACTCGAAGCTGTACAAGGAGAGGATAAAAGCATATCACGACTCAAAAATCCTCTCAAAACAATTCAAACCGAATGACCAGGTACTTCTGTATAACTCTCGGTTGCAATTGTTTCCTGGTAAACTGCGTTCTCGTTGGTCAGGTACTTTCATAGTCAAGGAGGTTCGTGATGCGGACATAAACCCATCAAGATGTCTCATGGTGATCTCAACACCTGGAAGAACTAGGTGCAACGGACATGAGAGTCTAGCCAAGGGTAAAGGAGAGACGATCTCCCTTGTTGAACAAGTTAATGGAGAAGGGGAGACATCTGTCATTAATTTGTTCTCTCTAGACTCCTATCCCATCACCAAGAAGCCATTAGATCACTTAATCTTAACCGGACCAAACCAAATAGGAGGCAACCAATCTATTGAAGCTCAACCCAAAAAGAGCCATGAGTCTTGTCCAGACCAGATGGAGTCCAAGAACAAGTTTTCCAGCCCAATTACCACTTGGATTACATTCTTAGCTCAACCAAAGCATGCCTCGAAGTGGAATCAGTCCAATAAGAGTTCAGAGGAAGGAGATATTAAGTTTATAAGTCGGGTGATCCTCAACTTACCCGATTTAGACATATCCGCCTTGATTGGAGAAGTCCAACTAAACCAAGAGGAGTTAAGCTGTAAACCGACTTTTTCTAGAATCTTGACTCATTAGAGAATCACAGAGAATTGGAATCAGACCGAGATCGATTTTGGTTTAGGAGATATTCAATCTCTAAACCAATGATTCCTCCACTTGCCTTATTCGGAACCTTCCGGGTTTTGGAGACGTCAAATATATCAGTGGCGCTCAGGAGACTCTGAGTTACTACTAGAAGCCTTTCAAAACATCCTAAGGTGCACCAACACGCATTGGATCAGGCGGATCCTCCCACACCTTCACTTTCCATATCCAGCGTCGAGCTTACCTTATTTGCCTTGTTTGGAGCCAAGGGAAATCAAACAACAACAGCTCTTTTCCTCATCACTTGTGCGCCTTCTGAAGACTTATTCAATGAACCTAGACGTCCCAAGACATCACCAATTCGGACCCAAGCTTTCAAGACTCAAGGCACCTCACAACTTGCCTTATTTGGACAGATTTTCCCTTCAATGTTTCAACGGCTGTTTTCATTTATTTTGTGCGATTTCTTTTGCTTTTCTAGCTTATTACCGTTTTCCTTGAGCCCCTATATAAGCTCAGTTCGTTCTTCATTGTAAATCACCATTCAATCTTAAAGTAACAAAGCATTTTCGTTTTTCTTCAAAGAGAGTTCTTTGCAAGAGTTATTTCTTTTGAATATTGTGTGTGATTCACATTGTTCATTAAAATTCTTGGATTAAACTATTTGTGTGATTCAAGCAGTTTGTTCGATCACTTGATAGAGAGAATCTATCATCAACAGATTGAGTGAGTCAATCATCCTATCATCGCGCCATCTCTACCATTTATTCCACATTCCGCCAACAAAGCTTGTTGTCTTTGACAACCTTGTGAATTATAAGACTTGGTGTGATTCCAATCTTATATCAAGCACTAGTTCCTATCAAGGTGCTTTTGTTCTTATCTTTTGCTTTTTGTTATTTCATTTTTGTTTCATCATAAAATTAAAAAAACCCATAAAACATTGTTTCAATTTTGTTTTCATTGTTTTTGTTATTAACTCAAAAACCAAATAAAAATTATTTCTTTGTTTTATTTGATTTCGTTTCATAAAAAGAAAAATCCACAAAAATTGTTTTCTTTTTGTTTCCAATTCTGTTTATCTATCGAATAATATTATTTGTTTCTGTTTTCATAAAATAATAAAAAAAAAATATCTGTTTCAGTTTTGTTTGCTTTCGTATTATAAAAAGAAAACCCATAAAAATTCACCTTTGTTTGATTTATTTTCTGTTTTGTTTCCCCTTTTATATATATATATATATATATATATATCATAAAATCAAATAAAAAGTTAATCTTTCTTTGCTTAAAATTATATTTTTGTGCCTTGTTTTATTTAGGAGAAAAAAAAGTTGTCCTTGCATATATTCGTTTGTTTGATTTGCATTATTTAATCTTATTTGTTCAATGTTTAAGTTCATTGCATTGATCATTGTTTCTTATTATTTGTTTGCATTAGTTTAAAAAAAAAGAAAAAAAAAGAGTAAGCCTATTGCATTTTGTTCTTGCATTCGCAATAGATTAAATTATTTGCTGCATTTAAAAAAAAAAAAAATTAGCTTGCATTCATTTGTGAGTATCATTTAGTTTGCATCCCAAAAATTATTCACACTCAAAAGTCAAAAAAAAAATTATCGTAGATTCCTTGTTTCCGTATTTAACCGTGCGCAATTTAAGTTTGAAGATTTTTGCATCCAGCATTGGTTTCCTTAGTTGTATATTCGGCATTTGTCATTTTAAATTCAAGCATTCATTCATATCATTTTCAAAAAAAAATTCAAGAGTCAGTCCATTACCTTTATAACTCAGTCGGTCCATATTATATTGCCTTGCCTTGGATATTTTCCTACATCTTGTGACTTTTTGACAGGTACAAACTACAATGGAAGAAGAAGAGGACAATTGGGAACAAGAGGAACAAGATATGACTAAAGAAGAAGATGCCTATGAAAATGACCCAAGTCTGAAGACTACTCCAACACCGGCTATGAAGAAGATTCATATGAAGGAGAACCTGAGCCAGAACCACCAGATTACAGAAGAAACAACGCCAATCAATTGAATTGGTCTAGAGAAGAAGAAACCGACCAAGAAGGTGATTTTGGAGAAGATAGTTCATGGCGAGACGAGACTGAGACTCAAATAAGTTTAGAAGACCATGAAGGTGAACCCGGACATGGATACCTCACCCATGGAGGAAAACAACATAAGAAAGACGAACTATACCAAAAGCCTTGGTGTTAAGAGACTGAAAGCGATCTAGGAGAAGATCATGAAGAAAATACTTGGAGAGAAGAAACTGATTCTGAAATCAGTTCAGGAGATGGTGACCATGTTGATGACGACCAATGGAGCCATGCGGCAGATCCAGAAGATACTTTGGTTGGAGAAACAAAGTTTGAAGAGGAGACTAAATATCCAAACAAAGCCAGTGTCAACAGCACACCTCTAGACGAGACATACGATACAGCAACAGATGATGAGGCAGATTGTGAGCCACACCACATCTATTTTTCAGGTCATGAACAAGGATCAGAAGCTTACCTACAGTGGGAGAGCGAAATGGAGTACATGATGAGGTCACAAAACATTCCTAAGGATCAGAGGCTTTCATACGCACTTGACTCACTTGTTGGAGAAGCTACTAAATGGTGGGAACAAGAAGAAGTTGTGGCCAATTATAATAATTCAACCATCACTTGGGAGTAATCTCAAGCAGCGTATGTACAGTGAGTTTGTACAAAAGTCCCACAACCGCAGCTACATTCCTAAGAGGTTAATGTTCCAAACAGCTACAAAGAGGTGGATGTCTACACCAAAACCGCAGCCTGTTTCTAAGTGAAAGAAAGCTTGCTGTTCTGAGCCAAGGAAAGTATCTCAAAGCACTTTGGGAAAGAAGTCAAAGGCTGAGAAACCAGTGGCAACCACAGAAATTGAACCAAATCCAAATACACCAATCACAGCTCACAAGGGAAGCACAAAACCGACACTTGAGCCACAAGGCAAAGCAAAGCAATGTAAGTCTTCTAAAACTCTTAAGATAAATACCACAATATGTTATAGGTGTCATCAGAGAGGACATTTTGCTAAGACGTGCCCATCTAGAGAATTAGAAACTACTTCATTGATCAGACAAAAGAAGATGTCAAAGAAGTAGAGAAAGAGGAGTTGCATTTTAAAGTTTCCAATTTAGATATGATGTGCTTGTCTCTGCCAAGGGTTATTGATGCAGGTTTAAATCATGGAGAGAATCACTACGAAGAGATCAAGATGTGCCAGCTTACCACTGAAAAATATGAAGTTCTCTCTAGCTTCACTCCAATCCAAGATGAGCCACCAGATCCTTGGGAGTAATCTCAAGCAGCGTATGTACAGAGAGTTTGTACAAAAGTCCCACAACCGCAGCTACATTCCTAAGAGGTTAATGTTCCAAACAGCTACAAAGAGGTGGATGTCTACACCAAAACCGCAGCCTGTTTCTAAGTGAAAGAAAGCTTGCTGTTCTGAGCCAAGGAAAGTATCTCAAAGCACTTTGGGAAAGAAGTCAAAGGCTGAGAAACCAGTGGCAACCACAGAAATTGAACCAAATCCAAATACACCAATCACAGCTCACAAGGGAAGCACAAAACCGACACTTGAGCCACAAGGCAAAGCAAAGCAATGTAAGTCTTCTAAAACTCTTAAGATAAATACCACAATATGTTATAGGTGTCATCAGAGAGGACATTTTGCTAAGACGTGCCCATCTAGAGAATTAGAAACTACTTCATTGATCAGACAAAAGAAGATGTCAAAGAAGTAGAGAAAGAGGAGTTGCATTTTAAAGTTTCCAATTTAGATATGATGTGCTTGTCTCTGCCAAGGGTTATTGATGCAGGTTTAAATCATGGAGAGAATCACTACGAAGAGATCAAGATGTGCCAGCTTACCACTGAAAAATATGAAGTTCTCTCTAGCTTCACTCCAATCCAAGATGAGCCACCAGATCCTACAGTGAATCCCAATGTCATGGCATCAAAAGAAACAGAACTAATCGGCAGTTCTGATCAGGTAAGTAACACATTTTTCTCATTTATTTCTGATGATTCTAAATATGTGATAATGAATTTGCTATATTCAGAGACGTGGGAGAAAGTTACAGCACCCATTTCTTATTTTAAACAACAAAATTGTGAACAACATGATGTTTTGCAAAAAGTTAATGCAATGGTTGAACCTGGATCATGTTTCTGTGTTTCTTATAATACAATGACTGACATAACGCACTTGTCTTCTGTCAAAAGTGTCAAGGATCTTGCATACAGAAGAGATGTTACAAAAATCCAAACCGCAAAGCATTAATGGAGACACACAACGTGAAAATGAAGTTTTCAGAAAGACGACTACCTTGCTGCCAAAGGAAATCAACAACATACCTTGGAGAGGAGTCATTGCCCCTTTACTGATCAAAGAAGAACCACCAGACATTCCAAAGCAATCTCACCTGAACCAGAATGGAGAAATGACCCAAGGTAAATTTCTAGACTCACATCTTTACCATGATACTAACTTGCTCTATCTTTGTGCAGATGAATTAGTTTCGAGGACGAAACATTTTCAAGAGGGAGGGTACGATGCGGACATCAACCCATCAAGACGTCTCATGGTGATCTCAACACCTGGAAGAACTAGGTGCAACGGACATGAGAGTCTAGCCAAGGGTAAGGAGAGACGATCTCCCTTTTTGAACAAGTTAATGGCGAAGGGGAGACGTCTGTCATTAATTTGTTCTCTCTAGACTCCTATCCCATCACCAAGAAGCCATTAGATCACTTAATCTTAACCGGACCAAACCAAATAGGAGGCAACCAATCTATTGAAGCTCAACCCCAAAAAGAGCCATGAGTCTTGTCCAGACCAGATGGAGTCCAAGAACAAGTTTTCCAGCCCAATTACCACTTGGATTACATTCTTAGCTCAACCAAAGAATGCCTCGAAGTGGAATCAGTCCAATAAGAGTTCAGAGGAAGGAGATATTAAGTTTATAAGTCGGGTGATCCTCAACTTACCTGATTTAGACATATCCACCTTGATTGGAGAAGTCCAACAAAACCAAGAGGAGTTAAGCTGTAAACCGACTTTTTCTCGAATCTTTACTCATCCGAGAATCACAGAGAGTTGGAATCAGACCGAGATCGATTTTGGTTTAGGAGATATTAAATCTCTAAACCAATGGTTCCTCCACTTGCCTTATTTGGAACCTTCCGGGTTTTGGAGACGTCAAACATATCAGTGGCGCCCAGGAGACTCTGAGTTACTACTAGAAGCTTTTCAAAACATCCTAAGGTGCACCAACACGCATTGGATCAGGCGGATTCTCCCACACCTTCACTTTCCATATCCAGCGTCGAGCTTACCTTATTTGCCTTGTTTGGAGCCAAGGGAAGTCAAACAACATCAGCTCTTTTCCTCATCACTTGTGCGCCTTCTAAAGACTTATTCAATGAACCTAGACGTCCCAAGACACCACCAATTCGGACCCAAGCTTTCAAGATTCAAGGCACCTCACAACTTGCCTTATTTGGACAGATTTTCCCTTCAATGTTTCAACGGCTCTTTTCATTTATTTTGTGCGATTTCTTTTGCTTTTCTAGCTTATTACCGTTGTCCTTGAGCCCCTATATAAGCTCAGTTCGTTTTTCATTGTAAATCACCATTCAATCTTAAAGTAACAAAGCGTTTTCGTTTTTCTTCAAAGAGAGTTCTTTGCAAGAGTTATTTCTTTTGAATATTGTGTGTGATTCACATTGTTCATTAGAATTCTTGGATTAAATTATTTGTGTGATTCAAGTAGTTTGTTCGATCACTTGATAGAGAGAGTCTATCATCAACAGATTGAGAGAGTCTATCATCCTATCATCGCACCATCTCTACCATCTATTCCACCTTCCCCCAACAAAGCTTGTTGTCTTAGACAACCTTGTGAATTATAAGACATGGTGTGATACCA